GTTCCGAAATGCCTATGTTCCGAAATCTATATGTTCTGAAATGCCTATGTTCCGAAATGCCTATGTTCCGAAATGCCTATGTTCCGAAATGCCTATGTTCCGAAATCTATATGTTCTGAAATGCCTATGTTCCGAAATGCCTATGTTCTGAAATGCCTATGTTCCGAAATGCCTATGTTCCGAAATGCCTATGTTCCGAAATGCCTATGTTCCGAAATGCCTATGTTCCGAAATGCCTATGTTCCGAAATGCCTATGTTCCGAAATGCCTATGTTCCGAAATGCCTATGTTCCGAAATGCCTATGTGGCATTGGAAAGACTCGTGAGGCTGTAAGACAGACGACTCGAACGTCAAACCTTTATCTCTTCCTAAAGCATGTTTTTTTTTTGTTATATGTATCTGTTTCGCCTGTAAAATCATAAACTAACTTAAATCAAATAAAAAAGGATATGTTAAAACTACAACATTCAGTTAATGTCTGATTTAAATAGCAGTCTATTTCTGTATATTTAAGGCCCTTCAAACCTCCCTTTCCTTCTCTTCTTGACGAAAACTGTCAACTTTACAAAACATCACCTTCTTTCCTAGTGGCTCTGGCGTAGTCGCGACCTCAGCAGGGAAGCGGCATCAATCGGCAAACCGCAGAAACACCACTTAATTCTGAGAACAGGGCACGGCAGCCGCACTTCCTAACGGTAGAAGTCATCCAAGGTCAATATAAAGGGAGAGAACGATTGCAGAACTTTATTAGCCTCTGCCAGGAAAGAGTAGAAATAGGCCAAATAGACAGATAACATGCCGGGGGAGTTGGTCCGCTAAAGGAGTACAGTTTGCCGCTCCCGTTCTGACGCCTACATTTGTAGCTGAACGAAGACGAAAAGAGTACAACATGTGTCCCCCATGCCTGTACTGTATCTGTATATCGGTATAGCCGGTATAAACGCCTTTCGGCGTAAAACACCAGCTTCGCAGGCACGCGTTACGCCGAACGACCTGCTACGCCCAATCTCTGCACATTTGATTGCAGGAGTTCGTTGTTTAGGCTTTCTAGTAGTGATGCCCCAACTGTGCTTGGTGGCTAATCTCCAAGCAGATCCTAGGGTGGCAAAAGTATCAAATTGACCATGCAGTATCCATTGGTCAGAGATGGTCCAATACGCCACCCAAGGACCCTCCGAGGCTCTGGCCAATGGATACTGCATGGTCAATTCGATAGTTTTGCCACCCTAGGATCTGCTTGGCCAATTGGAGATTACTTGATGGTCCTTGATGGCAGTTAGCTGCCGTCCTACTCTCCAAGCAGAGGTTGTGGGGAATGATAGTTACTTTTTTATATATGGCCGTTTTTTTTGTCCTGATCCCCACCCGTCGGTGGCTAATGGAGCTTCTCTGGCTAATGGATACTGTCTGGCCAATTTGATACTGTCTTTTTGCCACCGAGAGGGATCTGCTTGGAGATTACTGCCGTCCGTCTTGGCGTGTTTCCATCCCGCCCAGCCCGCGGACGCCCGGGCTAGTTACCGGCTAGTTACAGGGGCGCCGCCCGGCCGGACCAGTTACCGGGGCGCCAGCCGAATCAGCGCGGCGGCTCCAGCTGGCTGACGACGCGAGCTTCCCCCGGGCTGCTCGATCGGCGGACGGGAAATTACGACGTGCTTTTGTGGCGCCGGAAAAATGTTTTGCAAACACGTCCTTACCTTACGCACAGGCCACGCGAGGTCCTTGCCTCGGTTGTAGGGAGGGACTCCCGTTTACACCGAGCTCTGGACAGGCTATGCTATATAGAGACTAGTACTCTTCCGGCGTCTTTTCTTGTCATTGCCCTAAACCACAATATTATCTATTTATCTGTTTACTGGTTTGGCTGTTCAAGCTCACAGCCAGGGCAGCCCAACTAGCCAGTGGCTATCATAAAGGGCTTGCCCTGCTGACAAGACATGGCAAAACATTACAGTAACATAGAAGGTGGCTTAACAATCTAGTACATTATTCTATGTAAATTAAATTTAAAACGATATTGTTTCATACTGAAGTGTACCCAAGAGAGAGATATGAATCCAAACTTCAACGTTCTGCTCTTAAGTGGAATCGGAAGAAATAGCCATTCTTCAACCGAATCATTAACTGTAAGTCATGTAAGTGAACAAACTGTAAGAGGACAATTTCATTCGGCGAACTCGGTCTAATATTCGCCAAGACCCAATTTAATTCGACTAAAGGGTCTCCAGACTCTTCTAGTTCTTTTGCTGTGACCCTGTCTCTTTACGAGAGCACGACCACTACTACGATATTGATTGAAACAAACACTAATTTCAAGACGTGGCGAAAAATAAAGTCAGTCGCAACAGGCTATACTACAGTAATGGCCTTGGCCTCTAGTTTTTTTCCACACGCGGATACAAAGGAAGAACCGCCGAGTCCAGTAATCTGAGGACATCAGGTGAGGAAGTGCGACCTGCGGTACAAATATAGCACGTGAAACAACAGGTTCATTAGGACTGTGCTAATACTGGTGGGAACTCGTCCGCATGGGTCCTCTGTCCTTCCGTGTGACGTCCTTCTGCACGTGTGATAGCCTAAAACAGGCCTCTGGGCAAGCTGATCTCTAGCCTCTACCAGGCTTCAGAAGCGTCTGAAAGAGGGGAACATGCCAGGGGAGTTAGTCTGCTTAAGCAGCAGCCAACTTTTAAGCGGCCCAACTCCCCCAGCATGTTATCTGTAATTTGGTCAATTTCTACTCTTTTCAGTCATTTCTGAAGCCTGGCAGAGGCTAGCCCACAACAGGCCTCTGGGTGAGTTGATCCAGCCTATTAAAAGCAGGCTTTTTGGTGGGGCTTGAACCGTGAGCAACAGGGAGGCACAAGTGACCAAAGACAAATTTTATATACCCTGGATGCCAAACTCGTTCTTCGGGCGGCAAGAGCCTTTCGCCCGCCGGTCTAAATTACTGCTACGGGGGAGTCTAGCCCGGGGGGAGTTTGGCCGCCCTCCAGGCCGATATACTCCTCTGCGGGCGAAGTACCCTGGCTGCCGAAAAAAACGGTTAGCGGCCTGTAAACTTGGCTGGCACCTAGGGTAAATTTTATACGAATTTTACTGAGTAAACACTAAAAGTAGGAATTAGCTCCAAATTCGTGCGACCTTTATCTGCGTAAAAACGGAAGTAACACAAAATCATCAGCTGTCTAAATCATTCAGTGAGTGCATTTTTAATCACCATTACAATTCTACACATTATGTAACATAGGAACAAAACGACGAACAAAGCAAACAAGTACTATGTACTTTTTATTATTTTCCCTCTTGCACATCGCTTTAATACAGAAAGGAGCAACCAATTATGATACATTGTCCATATGAACCGCTAACGTTATATTATGTAAAGTACACCATCAAGTACGTATGGTATGGTATGGGGACTGTACATGTACGAATCATACAAAGGAAAACAACCGTAATACTATTACACAGCTTTGCAACTGGATATGCCCATTATTGCTGCCCAGTGGAGGAAGCTAAGTACTTTGGATAATACAATAATGAGACGCTTCCTGCGCTGATGCGTGTGTGTACGTGCGCGGGAACGGCAGGGGAGGGACTACACAGCAGCGAGGTGCAAGAAAATAGGCTTGCTTGGGAAGAACTGCGGAAAGAGTGGATTGATGGAGGAGTAGAGGAAATAACTGACTCCATTGGCGCTCTCTATGGCAAACGTTACTGTGTTTTTTTGTGGCAGACGCCAGAGCAGCTTAGCCTCGTACGCAGACTTTCTTGAAGGCCCGATGAAGCCCTCTCCCCATACACAGCTCTCCCCTCCAAAAGAAAGTGCCGAACTCGTACTCTCCAAGCAGAGGTTTGGGTTTTGGGGGTATTTTTAGTGTGTTTTTAGGCTTTTTTTTTGGGGGGGGGTTCTCTTTTTGCACTGAATTGTTTTTCCCACCAAACCCAAAGTTTGGTTTGGTGGGAAAAAAAATTCAGTGCAAAAGAGAAACCCCGAAAAAAAAGCCTAAAAACACACTAAAAATACCCCCAAAACCCAAACCTATGCTTGGAGAGTACCGAACTCGTAGAAACGAACTCTGGCCGCTAGAAAGTCTGCGCAGTTACAGTACAGTTCCGTGGGAAACAGCTGTTGGATGACGCAGGGGTGAGAGAAAGAAGTTAAAGACGCGTTGTTGTACACATTACAGAAATGCTTAGAAGTACACTAGGACAGACGGAAGAAGGACCAGGAGACTTAGCAGTACTGCCCCATGCAAGTCTCATTGCGCACCACTATTATGCTCGGGAGGCGTCAGTTTTAGCATCACTGTTGTGAACACAGCACAGAGAATCGACCAAAAGAAAAAAAAATTATCAGCTCATTTTCCCTCTTTCTTTGGCAAGAATTCAGCGATGGAGACATTTCTGAAGCGATCCAACACGATGTTAGTTTAGATGTCAAGCTGGGAAGGTGCCTCACAACAGAAACGCCACCTAACGACCTGTACAAGTATTACAGTACGAATCAACACAATGCTAGTATTACTTGCTGCTAGACTATTGCATTTGGAGGGTTATTATATGTACCTGAAGCAAAGCTATGCGAGATAATATTTTAATAATATACAATTCAACTTTGAGATTAAGGCTAACATCTCCACAATATCCTTGTGACAAACCGTTTGTCCATCATAATCATGACAGGAGATATCAAATGTTACCATGGCCACCCAGTGACCTTGTTTAACCTCTCATGGACCAAAAAAAATATCTTCATGCACAAATCCAATATACAGAAATGGGTACAATGGAGGACACGTCTGAGCACCCAGGAATATTGCAGAATCATTATATAAATCTCATACATGACGCGGGGAGGGGCAGTGGTCTTCTGCAGATAAAGGACAGGCACAGCCGGAGAAAAGGCACCTTTGGTACAACATGGAAAGACATTTGGAATTGCCTCTGTTTACTTAAAGGCATCCAATGCAATTTCTGGGCGGTAAAACTGGATTTTCTAAGTCAATTTTCTGGTCATTGGTTCTCTCATTTACAAAAATGGTAGCAAACATAAATGTTGATATAAAATAGATCCAGAAATTTTTGTTTTGTTTTGGCACCTTGAAATTGCATTGGATGCCTCCAAGATTTGTAAGATTCACACAGTAAGGCTACTTCATCCCTGTACCTTCAATGTCATCACATTACTCCAGGCACTTAAACTGTAACCCATGATGAGGGTGGTAACTATGTAGGCACATAGCTAGGGGATAGTTGAAGTACAGCACAGGTGGAAACAGAGGGAAGGTACCCGTGTACTAAGTTGGGAAACTTCACCACCAGGCTATACCCTTAGGCCACACCAATTTAAGTTGTTGGTTCTCGGATTCGCCCCCTTCACTATTTTCTGATTTGCCACAAAAAAAAAAAAAATTCAGGCTCTGAATCAACTCAAATGCTCATATTTTGGGTCCAACAGTTGCAGGAAGTCCCTTCTCTTCAGAGTTGTTACAGTTATCCCATCTTTCAATGCAGTGGTTTGATTAAAAGTTTGAAATTCATTGTTTGAATTACAAACCAGCTTGGTATGTTGACTTCATGGCTCCTATCATAACATTTGGGGCTTTCTAGGATGTCCAGGTCTGTTTTCGTTTCAATTTTTCTCCCTATCGCTTCATATTTTTCTGAAAAAATCCAACAAATCCGATTGGTGTGGCCTTAGGCAATCCACCCTGCTCTATGTCGTTACTGGGCACTACAGAAAACCACTTCCCCTCCCCTAAAGTACAAGACTGACAAGTCTACAGCACCTGTCTGACTTGTCCCAACAGCAGCAGCTGCCTGCTACAGCCACGCCGCTGCTAGTTAGCATTAACTATGCACTACCAGGCCTGCAGCACCTTAGTATATATCCACCAAACACATAAATACCAAATGACCACTGGATATATCAGTATTATGAAAATATAAACTGGAAGATGGGAATAAAAATAAATGTTTCTGGATACCAATGAGCTAGGAGTTACAGGTGATGTGTACACATATATATCTACTCTTCTTTTTGTCAAACACTCAGACAAAATGGTTCAATACTTGGAGCAGTACAAAGTTTACAAATGTATGAAATCACTACACGTAATAAGGCAATACCCTAGTCCTGACTACCCTCTACAATCCCAGCTATTCACATATATACTGCTCAACATTGGAAACTTACTTATTCTAAACCCCCAGTCATGATATGTTACCAGCAGAGCTGGGGTATCAAAATATATGTCTGATTTACAAAAATCTCTCCCAGTTTTTTTTATCTCTCAATAAATCTCTACTTCTATCATAAACCAAAATACATCGGTTCCATCATATACATTTGCTGTCGTCCATCTTGGCTCCCGTATCAGACATGACCTGAGTGATGGCTGGATTCCTACTCACGTTTCTCAACCTTTCCTGTTCCATACATGTACATACATCCTTACTTAAGGCCACGTAGGCTGGTCTCATTGCTCCACAGATGTCACAAACCCTGGCCTGGGTGCCATCCAACTTGTATTGGCAACCCTGAAAATTTTGCCGTTACAAATCGGATGCACCCAGGCAACCCACACCCAACACAAAGCAGTGGAACAACAGGAAAACATGATGTGAGAGAAGCAGCACATTGCATTACAACATAGCTATGTTCTCCACATTTTCAAGTTGCCCTGACTCCTTCGTTTTGCTTTGGAACATCTGAAACACAATACTACGAGAGGCCTTAGTTCTGCTTGACTGATACAGTAAGGGATGGGGTATGTCTGAGTTAGGGTTGTACCCTAGCCTGTCCATGACGTACCTGGATGTAAACTTGTTCAAATTTAGATAATGGAAATAGGATCGCCCATCCCTAAGACATTTTTCCATCCAAATTCAGGAACGATTCTTTTATAGCCATGATTATAAAACGTTGGGTATCTGTCTGACACAACCTGTATCTGCAGCTATTAAAACGAATACAGTATTTCGCCTTATGACACATTTTCGTCTTTCCCTCTAAAATGACTTTCTTCTTTCGTAGTAAGATAGTAAAAATATACAGCTACCCTACTTGTCTGTTCCCTGCCTTGATCAACAGGCAACGTTTGGTTCATAAAAACTAACCTCTACACCCCTTCAACAAAGGCGGCAATGGAACGGTCGACAAGAGCACTCTGGGAACAACAGTTGTGTACCGTCGGCCACGTCACTGCATTTCTAACGGCCTGTGTTGTGATGACAGCCCTGGAGAGAACTTGAAACAGGCTGTTCTTCTGAATCACAAGTTGCCACGATCTGGGTTCCCAGAATGCCTCATCCATGGTGGTCTCACGTTGTGCACAGTTTTGGTCACTGTCCCAAATCGCTTCTTACTGCCCTGGTCAAGAGACAACCACTACACCCACGCGCACGGAAACACACCCCTGGTCACAAGAACTCCTGCTCCAGTTCGTACACCGTGGGTCTGCGCTTGTCCTTCTTGGGGCTGTGTCTGACCAGCGGCTGGGTCCCGTCCTGACTCTGGCCCTCCATGTCCATGTCCAGCAGGGTCTTTTCGATCTCCCGCTCGATCTGCGCACGCGTCATGGGCACCTTGGGCGAGTAGATGACGTCGCCCGGGGCGGGGCCCACATTGACGGGCGTGCCGGGGCTCCCACCCGCGCTGGTGGCCCCGGGAGACGTGATCTTGGTCTTGGCGGTCGGGCGGGGTCTGGGGGTGATGTCGAGAGTCTTTGGGCGCTCCAGCTGCTGGGAGCCGAGGTTCCGGCGGGGCGGCGGGGGCTCGGGGAGACGCCACGGGCTGGAGTCCCGCGGGCCGGGCCGCCCCGAAGCCACCGACTCCCGCACGGGATGTCTGGCGGACGTGTGGTTGGTCAGCTTGGCCGCTGTGCCTTCTGTCTGGCAGGTTTTGGTGGCCTGCGACTGCGTTGCACCTGGAGATACGAAAGTTTTTGAACACAGAAAAACAGAATGTTAGGAAAAATCAGTTTTTCTCCTCCAAGATTTAGCATCCTTGAGTGACATAGACTACAATCATTGCACTACAACCTCAGCAAACTTTACAACTATAAAACCAGATACACCCATGTATAATTTCATTTCAGATTGGTGAATGATTGAATATGAAAGTTCTTTTACAACCACTTCTTTGCAAGAGCTGATCTTCATGAAGATGACAACGGCTCTTGCAAAACATGATATGTACAGTAAGTGCAAGTTTACAACAAATACAGAAAGTTTCTGTGGAAGCAGACTGACCTTTGGCTGACTGGCCAGGCAAGGCCCCTCCCTCCTCGTCTTCCGGACTGGACGTCTGTGTGTACACGCTGGTCCGCTTGGGCGGCACGGGCGGTATGACCGGCGTCTGCGGGCTTGTGGGGCTGACCCAGGGGTCTGGGGTGCCCGGATCTCCGTCCGGCGTTCTGCGACTGTTGTACCTTTGGCTGGAGCGTCTGGTATTGCCGTTTTCGTACTCCTCGGACGTCGTTCTCCTCTGCCCGTACTCCTTCCTCCTCGAACTCGCCACGTTCCACTTGTCGACGTCGTAGTCGCCCGACGGAGTCCGCCTGTGCCCGGCCCCGCTCGTCCGGCCGGTGTCGTACTCTCCGGAGGGCGGCCTGCGGTAGCCGGTCTGTGCATAGCGGCTGACGTGGACCCTCTCTCTCTTAGCAGCATCGTACCCATACTCCCCCGACGGCGGCCGGCGCGAAGGCGGCTTCTGTGCATAGTTACTGCCGTTCCCGCCCCAGCGAATGGAGTCGAAGTCCCCCGAGGGCGGCCGGGACGGCGGTCTCCTCTGCGGAGAGAACTGGTTCTGCTGCGCAGCGGCGGGGCTGGCGTCGGTCCAGCGGTTCGCGCCGACCCACTTGCCCTCGTAGTCCCCTGAGGTGGGCCGTGAGCCCGGCCGGGAGGGCGGCTTCTTGGTGGTCGCGCCCGGCCCTTGTCCAGCATAGGGCCAGTTGCCACCCGGGGATACCGCGTCGCTCGCCCGGTGCTCGTACTTCTGCCCGTACTCCTTCCAGCTCTTGACGTCGTAGTCGTCGAGGGACTGGGAGCGCCGGTGCGCCCGGGGCGACCGGTCGAGCTCGGTCCACTTGTTGGTGACGATGTGGGCGTCGTTGAACATCGGGTTCTGCTTGGTCGGGGAGTCGAACACGGGAATCTTCTCGTTTGGCAGCAGCGACCGGGTGGACTGGTTGTCGGCGGCGTCCGGGGACGTGGAGAGGGCGATGAGCCGTACTGAGGTAGAGTCGGGGGAGAGGGCCGAGGGGATTATTGCATCTGGGTCGGGCTTGTTGGACAGTCGGGGGGGGCTGGAGCCGAAGTTGATGATGGAAGCCCTGTGGGGGGTGGAGGAGCGGCTCTTCCGGCCGCGGCTGCCCTTGTTGTGGTCGACGTCGGCCGTGGGTGTGGCCCGGTCGGGCGAGTCCAGGCTGGCCAAGTACGACGGGGAGTTGGTCATCCGGATGTCGAAGCCCACCGCCACACTGGCCAGGATAGCTGCGCACTCGTACAGGGCCTGGTCGCTCTTCTTACGCTGCACAAACAAACAAACAAACACATAAATCATAATGACAGTTCATCTGTGTTGATAGTAATCATAGTAAACTTTATTTCAACATAAGGGTTACACAGATTTATTAGTAACCAATCACTTCCAAACATACATAAATCTTTGAGGAGACTGTGAAATTATAAGATTTTGGCCCCCTACTTTTTTAATACTTATACAGAGGGTTTGTGCCTGCAGTACCTGAAAGAATCGCTTGAGGCTGTTGGTTGGCGTGATGCTGGGAGAGCGTGACTTCTCGGTGTCCTCCTCGCTGTTCTGCCGGTACGGCAGGTCGATGTAACCCGATCTCCGCTTGATCTCGCCGCCCAGCTCCTCCGGCCACTCATCGTCATCGTAGTCTGCAGGGAACCGACAACAGGTCAGCTTAAACTCTCCTCTTATATGGTCAAACCCCATAATAGCTTGACCAGAATAGTATAGTATAATAGAATAGTAGTTACCATGTTTCTCTTACATATTTACATGTATGTATACTCCTTGCTAGAATGTAGAACTTTATTTTAGTATATGGTTTTATACCACTCTACATTCTGTACTCATTGTTGTTTTCAATATCTGTTTGCAATTAGCCTCTGGGCAAGAATTTGCAATAAAGCTATTCTATTCTATGTGGTTATTGAAATTTATGAACTTGACATATGTACGGTCTTGCAGCCAACCGGTAACATATAGTCAGCTGAATTGCCCTGTTGACAAAATAATAGGATAACAGGTGACATGGATAGCTAAGAATTACATTTGTTGTAACTAACATTTCATTAAAATAAACTTTACTCCTTTGTTCTACCAAACACTAGGTGTACTTGTACATCAATGACAGACTAGGGCAGCAAGGAGAAGGTGTAAGCACAACTACACTTCCACTTCAATGCATTTTACAGAGTCATCAACGATACAAAGACAAAGACTGCAGACTTGGTGCCAGTGTTCCAGTGGTTTACAATTGACAAGACCAGCTTGTTAGCACAGGCAGTAAGAGGCAGTCTTCTTTTCAACAGTGGTGATACACACCTGTCTCTTGCACACTCTTAATATTGGGGGCAGGAGGGTAGGACTTTAATGTCAGGTTCTTCCCCAGAGTCGGCGCGCTCGTGGACCAGAGCTTGTTGCCTTCCGACATGGACCGTAACCTCTTCTCCTTCTCCTTCTGATGCACCGAGCTGGGGCCCCAGGTCTTCCCCTTCCCGGGTTTGTTCACTGGGGGGAAACACACAGATGTCAGTACACATACTGTCAGCCAGTCTCAATAGACGTCAAAACACACACATCCGGTCCAAACTGCCAAAGAAAATGACTAAGGGGGCTTGTAAAATCTGGTCTATGTGGACAGGTGGTAACTATAGATAGTATTCTCAATGCATGTGTCTGTGGGAAAAATGATCTAAGGGACCACTGACAAGTGGTCATATTGGCTAGGTGGTCTTTATGGTGGTCACTTGTACAGGCTTGACTGTACTTTACCAGTAGAAGAAATGTAACATCTTCTCAATGCTCAAAGCTGCCTAATGGCAGGTTAGCCTCTAGCTTAACTAACTTTGTTTTGTTATACAGTATGTAATGTGTAATACAGGAAACCAACAATTTGCTGCCTATGTTCCATGTGTATTGTGTTGTTGGACTTTGAAACTAAACTAAACCAAATTACAATACCAGGGTTCTAGCTAGCGCTAAGTAGCGTAGGGGCCCCCTACACTATAATTTTCACCCCCTACGCTAAATTTCGCCCCCTACGCTATAATTTTGACCCTCTACGCTAAATTTTTAATACAGCATAGGGGCATTGTGACTGTATTTCTTTGTTCAAGAATGCCAGATCAAATGTGAAAAATTACCAATCAAGGATACATTGTATATACCATAGAAATAACATTTTTTCCTTTGGGTATCCCTCAAATGGTCCCTTTTTTAGCTCAATTTTTTAAAAGCTCCGCCCCATCCCCTCTCTTGGTCGCTTTGTTCACTTGACATGCGGCCAGTACCACTACGCTAAAATTAAATCCTAGCTAGAACCCTGGATACTATATGGCCGTTCAGACACGTACAGACGATGGCCCTGAGGCGAGGGAAGCTGCCGGGGCTGACGGTGGCGGCGCGGGGACCGTTGGGCCGGTAGTGCTTCTCCTTCCCATCAACAGTCGGCGCTGATCTCAGTACCGTGATCTTGTGCTCAAAATCTGCAACATGGAAACAAACATATCAACAACTGCTTACATCAAGTACTTAGGCAGGTTTTCTTTCATCCTTGTTTGACAAGTTCCATCATTGTTCTTGCCAGCTTGAAAGATGTTTTTCTGTCATCTCAATTTCATTTGATGCAATATCATGTTGACCTTCTATTTCTTGCATTTTGCAGGGCAAATTTTGCTGGTAGACTAGGTCAATGACATCTCTGATCTCTTTCCGTATCTTTGCATGCTGAGTTTAGCCTTTTTGTTTGTCATGAGAAGCAAAATTCCATGAAACGACAAAAGGCAGGCACTGGCTAGAGCACTGTAACTGTCAGAAAGTGGACAAACAACTTTGACTGTAGATGTGGCTGGGCCTTCACACATTGGACTTGGAAGCAGTGTTCGAAATACCTGTCTGCAGTCTGCAATCTGCAGATAGATTTTCAAGATTGCAGAAGAAAAATTTATACAATCTGCAATTTTGCAGCAGGAAAAATTGGCACTTGGGATTTTACGCTTTTGGCCCCAAGGACAGACAACACTTCAGGAGCTTCTTCACTAATTTGCATCAACCTTGTCTTGACTTGTTTATCTTTTGTTTCCTTTTGGACTTCCAAAAATTTGTCTTCACTAATTTGCATATGAATCAATAGTTCATGCTTATAAACCTGCAAGATTGTAGTATGGAGGCTTGTGTATTTGCAGAAAGTATTTCCAAATTGCAGAACAAAATTTTTACTCTTCTGCAATATTGCAGAGCGCTGAAAAAAAAGTATTTCGACCACTGTGGAAGGTAAGACCTCAATGAGTATAGCTGATAGACATGTAGTTGTATTACCTGAGGGCATGCTGATCCGAGCCTGTTTACTCTTCAGCTTCAACTTGCTCTTCTTGAACTTCCCTTTCCGTTTCCTCACCGGTGGCTTCTCCTCAGCCATCTGAGAAAACAATAAATGGTAAAATTCATCACTGGTGTTCCCTTTTCTATCTCAGCATTCTTGAAACTATTATATAGGCAGGATTCGTAATGCTCGTGCCAATGAGTAAAATTATCTTGGGGACCAAATTGGCCAGGTGGTCCTTATGTAGAGGTGGCCATGTCCATAGATTTGCCTGTATACTGTATAATTGCTCTTGTAGTTCCCGTGTAGTTGCCAGACACAAGAGTGGCTGGCATCCTATTGTGGCAGTTTACAGCACTACGGCGTGCAGTTGTGGAACAATCTCCCTCAAGACTGGCAAACACTGACTCTGACTAAGATATGGACATTCAAACACTGTTTAACACATGTGTAATATGCTACTCGATACTATTCAACCTAATTGTTTGTATGGTGGTATAAGTGTAATTGATATTGATACTAGTACTTTATAACAGTTACTGTTTCTTATCGAATGTTTAACCAGGACTGCCTGGAAAAACAGGTGTCTGAGTGTATCTTCCTGGAAAAATAAATAAGATAATGAACTACCTGCTGTAAAATCATGATGTTGAGCTCCCTCTCCAGCACGTCGATCTCGCGTTCGGCCAGTTCCTTCTCCCGTTTCTTCAGCTCCTCCTCCTGGATCTGCTGCTGCAGCAGCGCGTGGGTCAGTTCCTCCTCGCGGGACCGCAGCTCCTGGAAAAAGGCATGGAATAACATTCACCCATGAGACTAGGATACAGGAGTTTTCTTTTACACAACCAAAATTTCTCACCTAAGTGCTGACATTTCCGTGTCTATCAGGCACCTTTCTCAGTAGACAATGTACAAATCAATCAATGTGCCATTGGACATCATTGGACAATGAGGACATCTACCATTTACTATCAGAACTGCAGACACCTAACATATCACTTCCATTCGTTCATTCTCCTATATACCTGATCTGATGTAGTGTATTATCTGTTTTGCCTACAATACAAATAGTATACAGATATGTTTTTGCAATCAAAGGACACAACGTCTAGCCAGAAATGCCAGAGATTGAATCTGTGACTTCTAGATCTTGTGTCTGCAAGCCTTACAAGTCGACACCACGAGAACCGTACCTTCTCCTTCATCCTGAGCTCGTTGAACATCTGCTGGATCTCGTAGCGCCAGTCCTCCTAAAGTAGCCTGGGTGCCAGACTATTCCCCAGCCCAAACACACACACCCAAGTACCGACACACACGCACACACACACACACACACATGCACGCACTTCCCTCCCACCTTTTCCTTCATCCTGAGCTCGTTGAACATCTGTTGGATCTCGTAGCGCCAGTCCTCCTGCATGTCGTGGAACGATTCCTGCGGCGTGTCCAGGAAGTCCGAGTTGGCGATGTTCTCCAGCTGCACCAGGATTTCGCGGAACGTCGGACGCGCCCGAGAGTCCGGGTGCCAACATTCTGGGGGGGAAGAACGCATCAGTAAGGGCCCATATCACAAAGTCGTACATCGAACAATGATATTTTTCCGTGACAATATCGCTCTGTTTGGGAAGAAACGTGTGGAATAGTTGAATTGTATTAAGAATAAAGTTGTATTAATTGCATTTCAAACTATTGCACCCATCTCATCTAAAATCTTTGACATGCGGCACGATTATTGTGGAAAACCCTGTGCAATGTATGTGTGTATGATGGCGAAAATGATCAACTCATCATGTCAATCACTGTCAGGAATCACTGATTGACAACAGTGTGAACTGACAACTAAAAATTCAGTCTCCAACAAACTTTCCAGTAAACTTTGAGTACTCTGACAGCAACCCAGCACTGACTTAATCAAATTTGTAAGATACAGTCATCCCATATTGCATCCATTTGTCCTCTTTGTGCTACCGTGCCTTTGACTTATGCTCTATCTATAGAATGATTTTACCTTCCAGCAGCTGAGAGAAGGGTGCAGGACATGTGGAAGGGATGGGCAGGGTGAGTTTGTTGACTGCCACGCCGTACGCCACGGCCAGCCCGTCAATCCCCTTGTATGGCACTTCCCCAGTCAGCAACTCCCACAACACAACCCCATAGCTGTGGAGAGGAATATGGCCCTCTTTAAATAATAATAACAATCAACAACAAAACAAGGAACAACACAACCCCACAGCTGTGAATGAGGAACATGGGCTCTTGTTAAAAACAACAAAAAAAAGACAACAACAAAACAAGCAACTCCCATAACACAACTCTATAGCTGTGGAAAGGAGTATGGGCTCGTGATAAATAATAACATCAAAAGACAACAACAACAAAAGAAGGAACTCCCACAACACAACACAACACCAAATCTGTGGACAAGAAAATGGGCTGTTGTTAAACAACAACAGTAGAAAAGCAACAACAACTTTTGCAGTTTGAACCATGTTAAACAATGTACCTCACAACGATAGCTTATATGTACCTATGTTTAAGATTAAAGTGTTGATGGAACATGTGACAGATCAAGCATCTGACAGCTCTATTTGCCTGGCTAGTATGAACTTTGTAACTTATGAAATTCTACTATGATATCTTGGCTAGACATGTTATAAAAGCATATTCCTTTACTGATAATAGATTAGATATTTCATTAGTTTACATCTAAATGCTCTTTTCTTTTGAGGATGAATAAAAGTTGTGCTGTCTATTTTCCAGCCAGAGTTCCCACATTCTGTAGGAATGCCTTCCATTCCACACAGCTGATATGCAGTTAATGAGACGTATCAAGTGTAGACTATTTCCAGCAACAACCTGCTACCAGGAGACAAGCAAGAGGTGTGGCTGATGAATAAAGTGTTTTCCTAGTAATATCTGATACACACGTCAGGCTTAACTGATGATAGTGTTTTAGAAAATAAGACCAAACAATTAACTAGGTTTAGCCTTCTGCATTTTTCAAAAGCCATAACTTAAAAGGAATTGAAATTCAACTCATTATTATGCTTCAATGCTGTCACATGAATTCCATATTTCAGACCTCAAATGGCCACTAACATCATCTAACAAATTGGCTTACTGTTGCTTTAACATAAACTTCTTGAAACATGCATCCTTTGAGGTGGACAGTAACTTATTTATATATTTTAGCAATTAGATTTGGCATCTAATGCCTTAGTAAGGGCAACTTAATCCAAAACGAAGTGAT